GAACTCAGTGCTGGAACTGTTGGAAACGGTCTCCTGTTAGTAAGAAACGCCAAAGGAAAGGCGATAATGTCGACAACAAGCTGACATGACCAGTATGAACCAGCTGAACAAATAAAAACACACAAATCCTGAGCTGTGTTCGTTTATTTGGTTTCCACGGATGCCTTCCGAAAAATTGATTTAGTTTTAAATTCTTTCTGATCCAGCCTAAGGTTTTTACAAATATAGTTATTTTATAAGCACAAAGTACGGTGAATTTGAAAGAAAGATGGTGGATTTATGGACTACTTTAAGCCATGATTAGATCTGTTTGGTTCTGCCTTGGCAGAGTGTACGTAACCAGCCCATTCTGTTTGTTTGTTTGTTTGTTTATTTAGATTTGTATTCTGGTCTTTAAACCGTCATTTCAGACTTGGGAATAAAGCTAAAACAGATGGGATGAAAATTAATATTGGGCAGCACACGTTTTGAGGGGTCCTCGGTGCTCTCTGAGCTTCATTGTTTTCTTGCAGACGTTTCATTACCCAGACTAGGTAACAGCATCAGTGCTAGTAAGGAGTGTGGTTTTCTATCAATTTATATTCTAGTGTCTTTCCCTGACAGTGTTTTTGGGGGTGGTCTTAGGAATTCTTTGGTTGAGCTGTTTGCTGTTGGCTTCTTTGGCAGTTTCTTGGCTGGGTATTGTTTACTTGATTATTGGTCTGGTGGTAATTTGAGAGTTTTTGTTTTTTTCCACCTGAGGGCTTCTACAACTGTTAATCCACATTCCAATATCCATAGAAAACACAATCTTGCAAAAGGCAACTGTAACTACAGGCTTTCTGCATGGAATATGGAGAGGAGAGGTGAGGCAAATTATTCATATATAATCCCCCACTGATTAAGATTAAAACTAAATAAACTCAGCGCATTGAGCGCCCATAATTACTAGGCTAGTAACTAACCTGCATGAAGATGTTTTATAGATTTAGCCAACTCTGGGCTGAATTGGAAGAAAATAGAACAGTGTGATTGGAAACCCAAGGAATTTGGGTTTCATAAAAACATAAACTGTACATACAAACAAGGTCCCAGTGTACATACAAACAGCACAGTGATAAATCATAAATCACGAGATATAATAATTCACCACGTACAAACAACAAAGTAATAATTCACGATACTAATAGGAACGATGAGAAGGATAATAACAAAACTGATCATAGCAAAATTCAAATGGTTTGACAAATAACTAAAACAGTTAAAAGAAACAGAAATGCAATTAAAAAAAACTTTTCCTGAAAATTCAACAGTTGACACCTTCAGTCATATCCAAAGCCGAATCTAAATCTTGATCCCAGATGAAGATCAGCCTAGTCCAGACACTCATATCCACAGCCAAGTATTTTGTCTCCAGTATTCAGTTCAGTGCCTTTAACATAAACATAAAGACCAGGATTGTGATAGTAAATAACACTAGTGTGTAAGTCAGCCACTCACAAACAAGTGCCATTAAGTAGTGTAGGATTTCCACACCCAAACCTGCCATCTAGTGGGAGAAAAATTCTATTCTTTTTTTTTTAAAGGCACACTACTCAACTCATCCCTAAAGATCTCTCTCCATCTTGTGGTCATTGAAGGTATACAACCTTTCTCAATTGTCATTCCCGGGTAGCCCATATGCCCAACAGCCTCCAACATGGACAGATTTCACAACCCAGCAAAGCTCTTGAAGAATATTCCGACTAATAATCAAACAATCATGCTGCTTATAAAGCAGTAAGTCAAGAGCTAGTTTTCCTTGGGTTGAAACAAAATTCAGCAACAGCAATTCATCAGCCTGAGAATGAACAACAATAGAACAGAATACTTTTATTGGCCAAGTGTGATTGGACACACACAAGGAATTTGTCTCCGGTGCATAAGCACTCAGCGTACATACCAACAACAAAGTATGTAATCGTAACAATGGAGAAGGTAGAAGAAAAGATGAGAAGGACAATGGTAATACAACCATCCTGTAAGGGTAAATATCTCAGACATAAGACAGTGCTGTGTAGCAGAGTGATGGCACAAGGGGGAAAAAACTGTCTCTGTGTGTAGTTGTTTTGGCATGCAATGCTCTAAAGTGCCGTTCCCAAGAGGACAAGTTGAAACAGTTTATGTCCAGGATGTGAGGGTGTGTGTGTAGATATTTCCTCAGCCTTCTTTCTGACCCATGCAGTATACAGGTCTTTGATGGACCTATATATGTCACAGGTCCTACTTGAGGACCTGTCTATAGGTCCTCAAGTAAACAATGTGGGATTCAGTGTCCGATCGAGGATCATTGCAAATAAATACATGCCACCACAGGAGAGGTCTATCTTCAAGGTGTTCCAGAAAGCAAATACCTTTCTCCAGTAGCTTTATATAGCCAATCCAAGGCCCCTACTCTCTACCCACCATGCACAACCAGTGGTGGGATTCAAATATGTGAAAACCCGGTTCTCTGTTTGGATGCCGCTTCCGGAAGTCCATTCTGGGCCTGGACAACAAAAAAATTAGTTACCGGTTCTGCCGAAGTGGTGCGAACCGGCTGAATCCCACCGCTGTGCACAACTGGTTTTCTAAGATCAGATTCACCTTTTGCCTTCCTTCAAAGAAGTCTCTAAAGCTTGGTTCTTCAGCACCTGAATTGAGAGGTATACAAGTTTAGTCCTGTTCTGCACACATGTCAGAAAGGGCCACAGGCAAGCTAGGATGTAGTTTTCCTGGAGCAGGGCAATAAGATGATGACAGAATCAGAGAAGACGACCAGAATATTTGCTTGAAAACTGGCACGTCACCCATCATGGTCGTCCCCTTTGACATATGTGTCATCGGTTCGCCATCGCTGGACTAGATCTTATTGAAAGGTTTTTTTTACCAGTCTTGAGATAATACTCCTATTATTCATCTGTCCATATCTTTCATCACAGCAATTCTTAGATTGGTTAATGCATATGTTGGTTGAAGAGATGCAAGAAATTGGATGTGTACTTTCTCTTTCTATGGATATACGTCTAACTTCCACATACCTTCTTTGTTCACAATTTTTAAGGATTGCTGAAATTGTTACATATATCCCTTACATGGTGTAAGTCAACATCT